ACAACCAGTTTGATAACAACCAGTTTGATGACAACCAGTTTGATAACAACCAGTTTGATAACAACCAGTTTGATAACAACCAGTTTGATGACAACCAGTTTGATGACAACCAGTTTGATATTCATACTATAGAAAATAAAATGACAACTTTATAAATAAACAAGGAGCAACAGGAATGTTAAAGCTGCTTCCAGTGGTTTTAGGGTCACCATGGTAACCACACATCTGTGCCCCTCACTTCCTGAGTGCAAACTAAAGGGAGGCAGACAAGAATGCTGATTAAGAAATAAGCCTCAAACAAACTGTGAACACTGGCATTAAAATCAATCCTACTCTTTAAAAAGTCAAAACATCTGGTGGCCCCACACATGGACCTGTAGAGAACCATCTGCAACATTTAAGACTGTCTCCTCCTCCTGAATCTTTTCTAGCTCACCTACAAAAACGTCAGCTTGAGTTTGGATGGGTGTGCCCTGCAGTCGAACGGGGGTTGAAAACCTGTCAAACCTACAGCCGAGTGAGACACACGAGGGGAAAGAAGACAAAAATAATGTTTTTATGTGAAAACAGTTTGGAAAAATTTGGTTAAAAAAGTTTAACCTTCTAACGTAAAAGTTTTCCAAGTCCAAACCTAAACTTCAGTTGAAAAGTATCAGTCGTAAAATCTAACGTTGTGTCTGTTTCAACTCTAAATGATGTTTTTACTCGTGTGTTGTCTGAGCTACAGAGGACTGGGTCTCCCACATGTTCTACATGTATGAGTTCACTCAGTGTAGCCCCGCCCCCGACAGGAGCAGCCTAAAGAATAACAACGAGCCTGTGACCTTGTTGTGTTTGTGTGTGCAGAGCAGCCTCGGTCCGGGCTCCTTCAGGCCTCCATCATCAGCTGCTACGTCATGTACCTGACTTTCTCTGCGCTGTCCAGCCGTCCACCAGAGAAAGGTACGTTAACATGCCCAAGACCCAGCAGAACTGTCTCCACCAGGATGTTGGACACGTCTCCAGCAGGACACTGGACATGTCTCCAGCAGGACATGTCTGTGAATGTTACTACTGGAACCAAAACACTCAAGTTTTATATGATCTTTTCTTGAAGTCATTTAAAAGACAAACATATGGAAACTATTGACACAGACAAACTGTCCCTGATAACACCTGTTTCCTGTTGAAATAATGAACTCTCGGCCCAGCGGGCAGCACATTGGTTCTTTTTAATACCACCAGACTGCATCCATTACGTTCTGCTTCTGACCTTATTTTCAGAGTTACAAACGTTTAATGAACAGTTTTGACACAAGTCCTCCCAAACTGTGCTGGACTGGGGCGATTCTAGGATCTGACCTTCAGGGGTGCTTAGCCCCCAGCATTGACAGTGGCTCTTGGCTTGAACAACACACCTCATGATGTGGTTTATGAGACATGCAAAAGTTTACAGCACCTGGTGTTCCCAGGTGGTCTCCCATCCAAGAACTAACCAGGCCCGACCCTGCTTAGATTCTGAGATCAGATGATATCGGGTGTGTTCAGGGTGGTCCGGCTGTAAACGAGGAGCTCAGTCACAAATAGGACTTTTAAAGGATCAGCGCAAACAAAGACTGGACTTGTGCAACCAGAAGTTACAACATATATCTACATTTAAAACACACAAAACACAACTAGCTTTAAGCATTAACCAAAACACCAACAGTGTTGTCGGAGGAAAAGAGGTGTTGCTCCTGCAGGTTGGGGGGCGTTAACCTTCGGGACATTTGTTGTCACCAGATGGCCATTTGGTGACGAGACTACTGGATTGATTGACAGGTGGCGTTGAGGATCCGACTTGTGCAACAAACACATGTGCTGCATAAAAACTACCGTATTTTGCGGCCTATAAGTCACACGTTTGTGCATAATTTGCATGCCCTGCTACTTATTTATGGATTTTTTCCCATATTTATAAACCAATTTTTGGCTGAGATATGATCATTTTCATTTATTCTGACTGAAAATATTGACCACTACCATTTTCAGCCGCTAGATGGCACTTGAGGTGTATGGCATGCCATTGTATCATGTAATAGGTAAAAAAAAAAAGGGCTATTAATGATGCAATTGTCTTGCCACAGCCTGCCACCTTTGTTGTGCTCTCTTGGAGCAACCATCAAATCAGCTTCATTTCGTTGCGCCACCCCGGTGAAATGCAGTTGATTTGACCATTAAAGTGCATTTATTAAGTAAAAGTTCAACTGAAACACTTTTACTATAATGTTGAGCGAACAAAAAATTGTTTTAGGTGCTTATCTTGTTAAATTTGGAAGAAATGTGCAGCATTCCTCCTCCTTGATTTCCTCCCTCTGCATGCTCCCAGAACACCGAGGCAGCGAATACTTTTTAAATACAGCTGATTTGACCGTTACAGTCCTTTTATTAAGTAAAAGTTAGACTGAGACACACCATTTGCTATAATTTTGAGTAAACAAATAATTGTTTTTAGGTGGTTATCTTGTTAAATTTGGAAGAAATGCACAGCGAGTCGTCCCTCTGTCAAAGTGCATTGATTAAGGAAAAGTTAGACTGAGACACACCTTTACTACAATTTCGAGCAAACAAATAATTGTTTTTATGTGTTAATCTTGTTAAATTCTTGTTAAAGTGCACACTCCCACGGCCGCCATATGACAATCAACCGATTTTTGGCACAACACCGGCCCACATTTCCAGGTTGTCAGCGGTGATGCATAACAAACGCGATGCGTCAGAGGTGACGCAAAATAGATGTGACTTAATACTGCGAAGCAACGGATTTATGGATTTTTCCAAATTCTTAGACATTTTTGGGCTTCAACTTATACTCCGGTGTGACTTATAGGCCGGAAAATACAGTAGATAAAATCAAATTAGTCCCACGTTTTTTTCCATTTAGCCTTTATTTATCCAGGTAGTCTCATTGAGCCACGAGAACTCATTTTCAAGAGAGACCTGTTTAGGGAGCAGATGGGGGTTAAGGGCCTTGCTCATGGGCCCAGAGTGGGGCGAATGAGGGTGGGGGCAGGTGTGGGTGCTTCACCTACCCCACCCACATTTTGAACGACGTACTGTGATAGCAGACAGAGGACATGCTTAGAAACTTGTTTTCATGGTGTTATCTTGAGATACTGAGCGATTTATCTTATCTTTAGATCAGAGTACTCATCAAGCTGTTTCATGATGAAGGAAAACATCCTCAGAAAACGAGTCCGCTCCATTTCAAAGTGTCAAAACCAACAAACATGTTGTGCTGCCTAAAGTTGTCTAAGGTGGAGTTTTCCTCTGAGTTCACCTTTTATCACCTTCATAAAAGCTGTAATTTGTAAAAGTATATATTTTTTGTACTTCCTTGCACACCTTTTTTCGTGGACACGCTGTTGGTGTGTGTTTGTGTGCACAGGAGGCGCGTGAGTCCTGGCGGTGCGGGGCATTGTAGCAACATGCTGAGAAAATATGCACAAACACCTTTTCACTGCAGAGCCAAGCACAAAAATGCGAACCCACGCGTCCACACCTTGTCAAGAGCATGCTCTGCAGAATCTCATTTTCACCTGCGGATGCTGACTTCCTGTCATCTGCAAAAAGTAGTCTTTTTATTTGTGTGCATGAGATTTAGTTAAAAAGACATGAACATCCCAGAGAGACGTTCACTGTCCAGACGTGATCTTTGACTCGTGTGCAATTTTCTGTCAGTCTTTAGGAGGAGTCCTTCATGCTTCAGGGCCTTGGAGGGAAAATATCATAAGAATGTTAAAAACCTTTAACCAGTAGTTTAAACGTCAGACTTACACTCACATTTCAAAATACTGAGGCTGTAAAATTAGAGAATGAACATTTGAGCTCTAAATCCAATAATTAGCCGGTGCTGTCACTGAAGTCAGGTTTGTTTTACGTGCACACAGGTGATCTGCTCGTAACAGTCTGGAGTCTCCAAAAGGATTTCTAAGGTTTTTGTTGGACTTTGTTGGTACTTAGAGGTTGTGCACAAGCATGTGCGGGCACACAGTGCATACCTGCGAGTGTTCAGAGGCTGAGTCTATGGAAACTGTAGTTGAGGCCCCTTTTTGCAAACAAGAAAAGGAATTTAAAGAAAATGAAATGGGGGGAAAAAAGAAAGAATCAGGTAAAATGACTTGAATGTTGCAGCTCCTCTACTGGTTTCTAACAATTTAATTACAAATGAAAGAGTTATTGATAATTTTGGAACTTTTTTTTTTTACATTTCATTTTATTTGTTGAATGGCACAGAGCAAGGCTGTCATCTCAAGGCAAGTAAGGTTTTCCTCCCCAGCCTGGGGCTTTTCTGGGTGGGGTTTACATGTTCTCCCTGTGGGTTTTCTCCAGGTACTCCAGTTTCCTCCCACAGACCAAAAACATGCATGTTAGACTGACTGGTAACTCTAGGTCTCTAGGTGAGAGAGAGAGTGAATGGTTGTTTGTCTTGTTTGTCTCTACGTGTCCCTGTGATGGACTGAAGACCCGTCCAGGTCCCCTGCCCCTCGCACAGTGATTGCTGGACATGGGCACCGGTGACCCCCGTGACCCAAAATGGAAGAAGCGGGTAAAGATAATGGATGGATAATGGAAAAGTAGGATAAAGAAAATGGATGGATGGCATTTTATTCACAAATTTGACTCACAAAAATAAAAGAAACAAAACCCACAGCAGACCAAGGGATATAACGAAGCACTAAACAATAAAACACACAAAAGCCTAATCTCACTTAGTATTTATTTAATTTTACCTGAAGAATATTAGTCTAAATTTAACAAATTTGATTATTTTTTAGATATTTACCACAGGATTGAAAAAAATACTCCAAAATACCAAACAAACAAAACAAACAAACAAACAATTAATCAGAAAATGTACAATAATTCCATCAGTTCATCATGAAAAATGATTAAAAAATATTATGTGACATGATCTGTGGTTTAGGTTTAATCCATGTGCAGGCAGACAAAGGAGACTCCCAAGGTAAAATAAAGATGATCTATTTATTAAAACAAAAACAAAGCAAAAAGCTGACGGGACAGAAAAAAAACTTACTTGGGTGAAAATGGAGGAAAAGGTGAAGGAACAAACATGACAGCTGGGAAGCACAATGCACGGACAAAGGAGAAACACAGATGCAGACTTTTAAAGGGGGACCAATGAGACAGGAATGACAAACACCTGGGGGTGATTATAATTTGAGACAGGTGAGACAGGAGCTGACAACAAGGAGGAAAACACAGGGATTAAAGAAATGATCGGACAAAACACAGATTCCCACACTGTCAAAATCCAAACTTTTCTCTGTAGATTTACATAAACATCTTATAACAAATCAAAAATGAATCTGACATCAAATGTCCTGCTGAACATCCTGCTAGTTTCTCTTACTGAACAAACAGTAACTTCAAGGCCACTTGTAACAGCTGGTAACACTTTTCTTAAACTTCTGTGTAACTCATTCAGATGTGTTGTTTCTTGTGCCAGTGGTGTATCAGGGCATGAACATGACCGTTTGTTACCCAAATGTGGGACAAGACGAGATCCAGAACGAAGGCAACGCTGTCGCCATCATCGGGGCTGCCATCATGTACTGTTGTGTCCTCTTTGCATGGTGAGAATACACAAAAGAACATTTCATAATTTTGTAAGAAATGCTAAGCCACTACATTAAATGGACTGTACATGTACTTATATGGTGCCTTTCTATCTGATCAAGATACTCAAAGCACCTTACACCACAATCAGTGCCTCATTTACCCATTCATACAGCTCTATACTAGATCTCTACAAAGCTAATGGAACAAATCATTCTAAAGAGACTAATCAGAGCTTTAGATCACATTCATTCACCGATGGGACACACATCAGAGGCTATGAGGGGTTCAGTGTCTTGCTCAGGGGCACTTCAGCATGTGACTGCTGGTGGATTCGAACTCCCAACTCTTGCACTGGAGGACGACTGCTCTAACCACTCAGCCACAGCCGCCCCTTTAGACATAAATAACTGTCCTCTACCTAAAGGAACCAGCAGATTGTGTTGAAACTTCCTTCCAGTGCAATCCCCCATCCTGAGCAGAACGTTGATGACAGCAGAAGAAACTTCTAGTAGAACCAGGCTCAGGATGAGTGACCATCTGCCTCTTAGAAAGGACAGAGACACAAACACAGGAAGACTGATCCAGTTGTAGTTTCTATAGTCCAGGTGTAGTTTCCATGATCCATGTGTAGTTTCTATGGTCCAGTTGTAGTTTCTATGATCCATGTGTAGTTTCTATGGTCCAGTTGTAGTTTCTATGATCCATGTGTAGTTTCTATGATCCAGTTGTAGTTTCTAGGATCCAGGTGACGTTTTTATGGTCCAGGTGCAGTTTCTAAGGTCCAGGTGTAGTTTCTATGGTCCAGGTGTAGTTTCTATGGTCCAGGTGTAGTTTATAAGGTCCAGGTGTAGTTTCTATGGTCCAGGTGAAGTTTCTATGGTCCAGGTGCAGTTTCTAAGGTCCAGGTGTAGTTTCTATGGTCCAGGTGTAGTTTCTATGGTCCAGGTGTAGTTTATAAGGTCCCGGTGCAGTTTCTGTAGTCTGGTTGCAGTTTGTATAGTCCAGGTGCACTTTCTGTGATCCAGGTGTAGTTTCTATGGTC